CTAAATTGTCCGTAGTGTATGATTGTGAATGAGTGTGTATGGAGGTTTTCCAGACATGGGTTGCAGCTGAAGGGCATCTGCTGTGTAGAACATATGCTGGATAAGTTGGCAGTTCAATCTGCTGTGGCGACCCCGGATTAATAAAGGGACTAAGCCGAAAAGAAAATGAATGAATGAATGAATGAATGATTGGGGTAATCCTATAGGGGAGTGTATCTGCATTAAATAAATAAAAGCTAAATACAATATAAAAGCTGAACAAATATTTAAATACAATATAATTAATTTACCATTAAAAATAACTGCACTTTATGTTTTTTTAATCTTTTTATTCTGGAGAGTCTAACAGTAGTCCCATGCAGAAATTAAAGTTTACAATGTAAAATGACAGTGCATAGTCATCTTCATTGTTTATAATAATGCGAAAAAACTATGAATCTAATAATCATTGGTAAAGCTACAAATGTTTTTGTGTCTTGTGCCTGAATGGTTAAAGCGTGGCTTTGAATCACAGTCCCTCCCCGCCGTCCAAAGATAATATGCTGACCAGTTAGCCTTTTGGCAGATCACCTACTGCACCTTTAACACTCTTAAAAAAGGAGCAAAGTTAACATTTTTACTCTGTTATGGTTAACCATCGCAAGTAAGTCTGAAATGACGTGTTCTAAACAGTGGCGCTATGATCCTAACTTCACATCACACATCCTGCAGTGTGATTACTGCCTAATATGCACTGTAAAAAAATCCGCAGCTGAGGTGCTGGAAAAAAACATAAAATAACGGCCATTAAATTACAGAAATTTACATTTACAGAAATTTAAATGTAAGGAAATTTCTGTAATTTAATGTCTGTTATTTTATGGTAAATTTCTGTAATTTAACAGCTGTTATTTTATGTTTTTTTTCCGGCACCCCAGCTGCCAGAATTAAACCACAAAATTATTCTTTTTTTTTTTTACAGTGACGGGTTAAAGCTGAAACAATATATTGTACACAACTAATAAAACTTATAAATGGCTTAACACTAAATTCCTTTTTATAATGTATGATTTATAAGGGAATACTTTTACTGTTTAACCTGTTATTGTTAATGCTGATAACGTTGAATATCTTTTAAAAAGTTCAAAACTCTTAACTAATTAATGAAAAAAATTGTGATTGTGAAAAAATTGTGATTAATAAAGTGAATATTTACAATGGAATCGTTTTTTTTTTTAATGCTTAATAATACATAATATCTAAAATTCTTGTTTTGTTCCTGTAAATATTCTTGAATAAATAATTTTTTTTAAAAAAACGAATATTCAATATCTCTGTTTGGGCAAAAAAAAAAAAAAAAAAAAATCTAATGACTGGGGTGATGGTGTCATAGGGGAGTGTACAGTATCTGCATATAATATATGAAAAGATCGATTAATAGACCTAATATGCAAATGGAATAAACCGTGCTTTTTGTTTTTGTGTCTTTTTCTTCTTCTGCAGAGTTTGTTAATCTATTAATCATTGTTAAAACTATTAATGTTTTATTTTCTTGAGCCTGAATGATTTAAACTTTTTTACACAGTAGCAGACATAAACCATGTGAAGGAGAAACTCTCACTTTGTGCCAGCCCAATTATGATTTACATCCTGTAATCACACAATACAGTGTCAATGCTCAAACAGAATATTGTGCAGACCTAAATAAACTGATACTTGGTACACTGAAACTTACCTTATCATAACTGCAATTGTATATTTTTAAGGGAATACTAAAACTAAAGGAATTCCGTTTTCTTTCTAAATCTAAAATGCCCATTAATAAATAATCAGTAAAAATATTTATTGAACTCAAGCTTACATTATACAGTAAATCAATGCTATTGTGACACACACTGTACCAACCACAACAGACTTGATCATCTGACCAATCAGAGCAGTGCATGTATGGAAAGCAATTTAAGTGTCTCCATGATTTGAAAATAAAAATATTCACCTTATTTTTCACGTCAGGGACAATCAAACATTAGTAATTGGTTCTCGCTTCTAGTGTCATCTGCTTTAATGTATTGTCTTAATACAAACACACTGGTTGGTGGCAGCTTTACTGTCTGTTGCACTTTTTTTTTTAGTTTAGTTACTGCACTTTGTTTTGCATTGTCTTTTAGTTATGTCCTTATTGTGATGAATGAGTGAACATTTTTTGACCGTGGGTTAACTACCGTTGGACACTTAAAAAAAAAAAAAAAAACTTTAACTGCACAATAGGAACATCATGGTGACAAGAAGATCTCCAGATCTTCTATCTCCAGAGTGCTATAATGATCAGTATTATGACAGTGAAAATGAGGAAGATATTGAGCCAGAGCCCTGATAGTAGACAACACTCAGAACCTTCAAGGTCTGGGACTCAAGTGGATGTCTGTGAGGATAAACTTCTAAGAATACACATTTATGCAAATGTATTTGATTAAATATAAGCAAGGGAAAATACCACAATATTTTAAGATAACTATTTCTGTTTGGTTATATATATTTATATAATATATAACCAAACAGAAATAGTTTATAACCAAACAGAAATATATATATATATATATATATATATATATATATATATATATATTAGGGATGTAACGGTATCAGAATTTCACGGTACGGTAATACCTCGGTATGAATGTCACGGTACGGTATTTATTGAATCATTTACAGGAAAAACAAAACTTTTGAAAATACTCCAAAAAAGTGCCAAAAGTGTCAATGACATACAAATTAGCCATCTATCTGTAAGCTTTGAAACAGGAACTTCAATTTTAATAACAAAAAATTATTAAACCATGTAAAAAAATTAAGTTTCAATTTAGTATTGTTGAAAACTCATCACATTCAACATTTAATCACTCACTCACTTACTTAGATAGAGATGGGTTTAAAGGAAAATTATCATATAACTATAATCTGGTAAAAGCTGGTATCTCTGGGTATTTGCAATGTCCCCTGCAACAGAAAAAACCCTCTCATTTGGGACTGAGGATTCTGGGACAGAGATATGACTTGGCCCATGTTAACAGCAGTGGGTAACGTTGTGCATTGTCTTTCCCCCACTTGAGAAGACAAACCATGAGTGAGATAGAGATCTCTTTGCGGTACAAGTCAATGTCTGCATCAATCTGAACAGTGTGCTGTGTTTCTGCAGTCCCCATGACTGCTATTAGTCGTATTCCCCAACTTGCAGGCACGTGCACACATAGGGCTCAACCTGTGCAGTGCACATGCCCTTTTTAGTCTTGGATAGAAAATGCCCTTCCAAATCGATCAAAAGTGCCCCCGCGACGCGACACAACCTCCGTACAGCCCTTCAGTAGACAACACCGCTCTTGAATATGCGCGCTCAACCCCCCCCTCGGCGCGAGACAACACGCGCGAGACAACACAGCTGATCAGAACGCGCGCGACAACACTGCTATTCAGTAAGTGCGCGGCGACAACACCCGCTTTAGGTTCGATCATTTCCATCTTTTTTTCATCTCCGCTACTAGCAGCACACTCCATTTCCACATTACTGGATCTGTAGCGACAACAGACCGCAAAGGATTATGGCCACGCCTGGGCTTATGGGAAATGTAGTTTAAGCTATCTCCCGTTCGCTTCATTCGCCTGAGCAAATTTTCTCAGAAGACCTATAGTTTTACCGAGTCATGCGACTTCGGTAATATCGAAAAAAATTTATATTGCGGTATGACGGTATTTACAATACCGTTACATCCCTAATATATATATATATATATATATATATATATATATATATATATATATATATATATATATATATATATATATATATATATATAGTTAAAGTCAGGATTATTAGCCCCCTTTTCATTTTCCAAATGGTTTTCAACAGAGCAAGGAAATTTTCACAGTATGTCTGATAATATTTTTTTACAAATATTTTTGGGACAAAATTATTAGCCCCTTTAAGCTAATTTTTTTTCAATAGTCTACAGAACACACCATTGTTATACAGTAACTTGCCTAATTACCCTAACCTGCCTAGTTTACCTTATTAATCTAGTTAAGCCTTTAAATGTCACTTTAAGCTGTATAAAAGTGTCCTGAAAAATATCAAGTAAAATATTATTTACTGTCATCATGGCAAAGATAAAATAAATCAGTTATTAGAAATAAGTTTTTTAAAACTATTATGACTAGAAATGTGCTAAAACAATATTCCCTCCATTAAACAGAAATTGAGGAAAAAATAAACAGGGGTGATAATAATTCAGGGGGGCTAATAATTCTGACTTCAACTGGATATGTATGTATGTATATATATATATATATATATATATATATATATATATATATATATATATATATATATATATATATATATATACACAGCCTTGCTCTGAATAATGTTTTAGTTTTGAATTAGCACTTCAATATTTTATGGTTTATTTTAATTTAATTTAATGTGAACTCTAACTAAATCAAACATCGTCTGATTTTACATTTTCAACTATTGCTTTTATAGTCCTTCATAAAATAAAACAAATATTAATATTTTTTATTTTCATTTTAAAGTAATCTTTGTATCACAGTGTTTGTATGTAGTTCGTTTGTTGTTTTGATTAGGCTACTATATATGTGTGTGTGTGTGTGTGTGTTTTACTGTGACGTAAGATCTGAAGCAACTTTCCTACCATGCAATGGCACATCATCAATGCAAAAATATTGGGAAAACTTACTTTTTCCTTCCTTCACTGACCAGCAGATGACGCTACTTCAACCGAACTAACAAAGCCCTTTTTTGATAGTAGGCTATCTGTTGTATTCAAATTATTGCTAGAAAAGAAACGACCTTTATTATGATAATAAGTAGTTTACTATTGACAGGGTATCTGTTTTGTTTGTGTGTTATCCCCCCCCCCCCCCAAAAAAAAAAAAAAAAAAAAAAAAAAACGAAAGTTAAATATGATAGAGAAAGTAAAAGTGTATGAATGTTTTGGTATTCCCCTTCAGTGTTTTTTTTTTGGTATACCATTGTATTATCTGCTTAAGCAGGAATTTTGTCAAAGACGTTTTGTTTCTCGTTGCGTGAAGGGGAGATCTGTGAGTCTTCGGTAAGTAGGGTATTTGCATTTAGCCAATTTTATCTTATATTTGATTGTAAGAGTAGCCTATATTAAAATGCTCAACTTGTTTTCACACTTGTACGCAGAAATAACGCTTTCTTGTAGCCAGAATCACATTGGCTTTTGAAGTCAATGTATTGAGTTATTCTTATGGCGCACTTGTAGAGACACAGTAAACAGTGTCCTCAATTTCCCTGCCAGCACAGTTCCCAAAACCTTTGTCTTACTTTTCCCTCTCTAATCCTGTGCCTCTCTCTCTTTCAGGTTTGTCCATCAGTGGAAGTAGTACAGCAGTATTTATGCCATGAGCACTCCAAAGGTAGATTCACCGTCGAAATCTCTCTTATCCCTCGTGACGTCAGACATTTTGTACACGCTATTTTCGGGCACTTGTTCTGGCTAAACACTATTGGAGGCGAATTAAGATCTAAACCTTTATTTAGCACACTGTGTCAAGGGGTCTGATTTAACTGTGACGCAGTTTTCCACAGATAAGTGTCTAGAAGTGCCTTCCTGGGTTAAAACTTGTAGGACAGATTAATTATTGCCAATCGTTTTAGTTATAGGCCTATTTAGAATGTGAAAATTATCAAATAAATAAAATAATCATTAGCGCTAATAGAACGAATAGTATATATATATATTGCTGTTATTCATGATGATATAGTTGAATGAATTAGCCTGTAAGTTAATGAAAATGAAGCAACACTTCGAATTGGGATGTAGCCTACAAAAGCAACATGGGTCACTGTACACCAAGGCTATGCTTAATTCAATAATTATTTTGAATTATTATATGCTTGAGAACATATTAAACGAAGTACTTGTGCTATCTTCCGTTTTAATTACAATAGAGTACATTCATTGGAAGAGAAAATATTCCTAAATAATTTACTGACAAAATCTAAACGTCTCAATATTCCAAAAGATCAATTTTTACCTTTTGCGTTGTGCTACATAGCTGTTTATAAGAGTTAAAAGAAATATGATGCATTGTGTGCAGATCTAACTGTAATGCCAAAAATGACAATGTGCATTCATCTTTGCCATAAGGCCTTGTTAATTTGTTGTTGCCACAAGCCCACCACTAATGAACATACTGTACAGTTGTTAAAGCTGCATCGAAGAATTACATATAGCTATAAAATATTATAATGTACCACAAATTAGGTTGCTCAGTTTGCCTAGGTTGTTTGTGATGGATGTTCAGGGTACTCATCAGCTAAATCTTTAAATGTTTCTTCACTGTATTCGTGCTTTACGTTTAAAACATTCTAACATTTAAACTTGGAATGATTTTCATGCAAACTTCATGTTTGCAATTGCGCTCCCTTCACAGTACACTTTGAAAAGATGATGTCATTTTGAACACACCCGGTGCTCATGATGAAAGCTATAGGTGACGTGTTACTTAAAAGCGTAAATTATACAAGGAGGTGTGTGACGCAGTTTGTGTATGTTCGTTGAAACAACGGATTTGGTAAACGGAAAATCAACAAACTATGTTTGTAACTACGCAAACTGCGACCTTAGTTGATTTTCGGAAACGCACCCCAGAGCAGCACAGATTAAAAAAAAGTGATTTCATGATTTAAAATAAATAATTCAACATATTTTTTTTTTTACTTAGGAGTGTGAGAAATTAGTAGCTAATGTGTCTGGCTTTCAGTGTGATCTGTGTTCTCTTTTACTGTTTATGCAGCTTGATATTGCAATACTGCATTTTTAAAAATCTGTCAATGCATTGTCTTACAAACTCACTGTAACAACTTTATTGTCTGCTGCACTCTGTTTTGTTTTTAGTTATTGTACTTTTTTGTTATTTTTTTATTGTGGCAAATAAATTATTAATAATAAACACCTTACTTCTGCATTGAAAAATGAGGTGTCTTGGAACTTCTGATGGCTGATGCATGTAAGCTACTGCATAAGAAGAATATATTAGCATATTATGAGATCATTAAATGTCTTTTATTTCATCTGTGAATATATTAAGTTTATAAAATTGTTTATAGCAGTTGTATTTTTTAAATAAACTTTAGTTGGATACCAATTTTGATTAGCAAAGTTATAAAAGTGCAAAAGCAAGTGGATGGTATCTGTGAAAAGAAATCCCTCTTTATTCTACTTTAGTTGTGTCATCAAATCCCAACAATTCTTTTTTCTTTTCTCAGTGTCCCAGCTGTCAGGGGTCTGATTGTGCAATGGATGGTCAGCGAGCGGTCTGCAGGTCTTGCAGTAAAAGTAATCGGCGTGTATTTCAGTTCTGTGTGGCCTGTCAAAGAGAATGGCCACGAAATGATTCAGACAAATACGCCTGCATGCTGCCAGACTGTGCTCTCCGTGCCGCCCTCCTCAGCGACAAAAAAATCAGTGACTCACTCAGCTCAGTGCGCGGATGCCCATTTTTCAGGGCCTGTCCAGGATGCAAGGCCCTGCTAACTCACAGTGGGTTAGGCTGTCCCAACATCATCTGCCCTCACTGTAATACAAGGTTTTGCTTTCGCTGTCTCCTTATAAGGCGATTTGGGATGAGTAATATTGAAGACCGTGGTCTTCTTACTCGTCAACTGTTTTTAATTCATGAGCATGACATGACTCCATGTAGAGTGGTAGACAACAAGTTGAGTCTTGTATTGTTAGGAAAGAAAGAAAAAAAAAGTTATGAAGATTAGGTCCGCACAATATATGGAAAAAAAGATTGACATTAGTATAATTTTGCGGGGTTAATATATATATATATATATATATATATATATATATATATATATATATATATATATATAAAACATAATAGCCAATTTAATAGCTCTGTTTGGAAAAAATTTTTTTTCTAATGATTGTGGGGATTCTGTAGGGGAGTGTATTGGCTTTAAATATATAAGTACAATGAACAGAACTAGGATACAAATTAAATAAACAGTGCTTATTTTTTCTTGGAAATGGTAGTCAGGTACAAATATTACATGATCCAGTGTAAAAATAATACTGCATAGTCCTCACTTGATAGAAAAAAAATTATAATAATCATTAATAAAGCTTTAAACAGTTTTGTTTATTGTGCATGGATTCTGCTTTATTCTATTTTACACAGTATAGCAGATCTAAAAAACGTGGGAATGATAAATCTTTCACTCTGTTTTGGTTAATCGTTGCAAAATCACATGCCTGGTGGTGGCAAAATCACTGTGGTGCCTGGTCAACTATGATCTTTACTTTACATCACACATCTTGTAATCACACATTATCCATGCTGAAACAGTATATTGTACAGCTCTAATAAAAACTGATAAATGACATAACACTAAAACTCATCCCAAAACTTGATAATTATATCATATGTGATTTATAAGGGAATAATAATGCTAAGAGAATACTTTAACTTACTGTAAAACAAGTTATTGTAAATGCTGTAATTCTTGAATGTGTTTTAAAAAGTGCAAAACTCTGATTTATGAATAAATGATGAGTGATTGATTACAATGGACTCGTTTTTTCCAAATCTGAAATGCTGATTAATTCATAATATTGGTAAACAATATATTTCTTAAAATATTTCCTTTTAATCAATTAAAAAGACTTGACTTCGTAATATGGTTTTATGTATGCTTTCATTACCCAAGTATGTCACTAGTTTTTAATTGTGAGAGATAAATAACATGAGTGGTTTCATAGTATATCAGTCAGTTTAAAGAGAACATAAATTTTTTTTTACAAAAAATTTAAAGATGATAATATTGTCATCTTGAGCAGTTTGCCAGATCAGTCATCAAGCCTATTTAGTTTCAGAGGAACTGATAAATTATCTATAAATTATAGTTTCATTGTTGAGCTCGAAATTATAAACAAATCTAAAATATTTTTTCGTTACAATTCTCAGCCTTCTTCTATCCTCTCATGTTACTGTAGTCACTGGTGTCTAATATAGCAAATTGTGTTTTTAGAGGTTTAAACAATTCTTCATAAAATAAAAATCTGGAGAATCATGTTTTGTTGGCTCCATCACTATTTTGAGTGCTTAGTATTAATATGTGCTTTTGTAAATCCCCTTGTGATTGGTCTGTGTGTGTTAGCAATTAAATAGGACCAAACATTCACCAATAGCCTGTAAACAGGCCCATCCATAAACTCTTCCTTTAAAGAAACCTAGAAAGTAGGCAAAAGTCTAAAAAGAATTCAAATTAAAACACTGGATGTAAACAGGAGCATGTCTCCCTAGCCTGCGTATGATCCAATCAACCCAAAATGCATCTTATGTGTGAAAAGGATTAGCACAACCTCTCTTGACTTCAACTTGCCACACAAATGCAGTTTCATAATTCACACAAAAATTAAAATACTCATCCTCATGTTGCATGAGAAACAGACATAAATACAAGTTTATTAAAAGTCAACTGTTTGACAGCTATGGTCTCAGCATTCACAAAAAAATGCTAAGTGATATGTTTTATACAAAATTGTGTTACTATCTAAAATTTTTAAATGATGAATAATTGAATAATAAAAAAGTTCAAGATGTCATTCCTTAAATGCTGCAAAATATGAAAGGCAGAACTGGTGTACAAGGGCACCTATGATGAAAATCATCTTTTGGGAACTGTTTGGACCAATCTGTCTGTAGGTAAAGTGTGTCCACTGTCATAAAAATAGTAATAGTTAATATAATATTAGTTAAAATAGGATCCAAATGACCTCCCATTTTGAGGCCCACTGCAACGTGACGTACTGTAGGAGTCCATGCCCACCAAATTTATTGGCGGCCGCGTATTAATATGTCTCCGTAGTAAAGTGTATAATCATACCAACAGAACAGGACGAAAGCAAAAGCAACTGGGGTTAACAGATCTATTCAGCTCTCTGTCATCATCAATCATCATCAAATGTGATCAAGAATCGGTTTTACAAGTTTTAAATGTTTTTAAAACAGTGCATGTTTGTAATGAATCAAGTGTGTTTGTGTGTGTGTGTGCGTGAACTTTGTAACGACATTGTATGTGACTCATCAAAAGGCTTGAACTAACTCCACAACAAACACATCAAATAGTCATTGGGAAAGTTTTTTAATGTAGAATTTCTCAGTAACACTACATGAGATCTGCTTCCTTCATGTCTGTCACTGTGCTGTTTATCTGACCCACACAGCCGGAGATTGAGGTACATTCTGACAGGCATGTGGGAACGGTGGGCGGTGAGAACGAGCAATAAAGGCACAGGCAATAAAAACAGCTAAATTTTGTTCAGAGAAGAAAATTCAATATTCTGAAAGCTATAATAAATAATCTGATGGGTGTTTTGAGCTGTAACTTTACAAACACATTCTGGAGACAAAAGAATACTGCATTTTTACACAAATACAGTATAGGCCTACACAATTATCAGATATTATTATGGAGTATGTGGGCATTCACAAACTTATATTATGAACACTGTTTTCCCATTATAATATGCAAATAATTCTGTTGATTGAGGCCTCCAGTCTGCCCTTCCCACCCTACCTCTCTCTCTCTCTGTCTGATCAGAGGTAAGAGGCTTGTCAGTTGAAGCTCAGTACAGCACAACCCAATCTGACTAATCTGATTAACTTAAAATGGACTTCTATCAATCATGAGCTCGCGTGACACACACACACACACACACACACACACACACACACACACACACACACACACACACACACACACACACACACACACACACACACACACACACACACACACACACACACACACACACACACAAACACACACACACACACACACACACACACACACACACACACACACACACACACACACACACACACACAGTGAACATCATGTTAAAATTGATAGGTGGGAGATGTTCATGCCTTACTGCAAGCCAGAATGTGTTCATGATCCATTCAGTTCTTGACACCATTGTGACCTTGATCAAGACACTTGTGGTGCTGTGTCATATTAATATTTTAAATTAGGCATTGGTTATAAATGGGGTTATAGGATGACAGTAAGATAAAACTGTAGCTACTCTTTTTAAACAGGCTCATTAGGCATTTTTGGTCAAAATGTGAAGTTTTTTAAAATCCTCTAATTAATATGAATCGGCCACATCAAATAACTGCTGGAGATTGAGAACCATTACAGGTTCTTTATAGGTTCTATGTAGCACTTAAAATGGTTAACTTACTACTTAGAACTATGTTTTTTTTAGGTGTTATGACACACTAATCATTTACTTTTAACATTTTAAAAATAATAAAAATTAAGTAGAACTGTAACAATAACATATCTTAGGCCCAATCCCAATTCTACCCCTTAGCCCTTCCCCGTCCCGATTCTCTTTAGCTTGAAGGTGTAGGGCTAAGGGTATGAGGTAGATTTTTCAGGACCACACTGCACCCGGATGTAAGGAGATCCACAAATTAGTATTTTTTGTCATTACAAACTTATACAGTTAAGTTACAATCTTAATTCCACCTTATATCGTTATATGATAACATGATATCGTTACCTTCAGTGATTTCCTGAAGATTAATACCAAAAAAATAACACAACTGGAATCACTACAGCAGTCACGATCGTCTGATCTCATATGAAGTAAGAGATTTTACATTTACATTTAGTCATTTAGCAGACGCTTTTATCCAAAGCGACTTACAAATGAGGACAAGGAAGCAATTTACACAACTAAGAGCAACAATGAATAAGTACTAAAGGCAAGTTTCAGGTCTGTAAAGTCTAAGAAGGGAAGTATTAGTAGTATTAGTTTTTTTTTTTTTTTTTGTACAGTTAGTGTGATATTCAGAGAGGCAATTGCAGATTAGGAAGTGTAGTGGAGAGTAAATAGTTGGGTTTTTAGTAGTTTCTTGAAAGTAGCGAGTGACTCTGCTGTTCTGATGCAGTTAGGGAGTTCATTCCACCATCTGGGCAGATTGAGCGTGAGCGTTCGCGAAAGTGATTTCTTCCCTCTTTGGGATGGAACCACGAGGCGACGTTCATTCACAGAACGCAAGTTTCTGGAGGGCACATAGATCTGCAGAAGTGAGAGCAGATAAGAAGGAGCAAGGCCAGAAGTCACTTTGTAGGCAAACAAGTCGAAAGAGATCGATGACATGACGACGTGTGCAGGTGCTGTAGTGGTGTCCCATTTCATGGGGTAAATTTTAAATCCCTTCCCCTTCACACTCTGTTTCTGGGGCCAAGGGAAAGGGGTAGTGGTACAAAAATAGAATTGGGATTGGGCCTTAATGTCGAACTTTTGACTGGGAGTGTATGTATGCGCATACAATCTTGTACATTTTGTATGCTGTAACTTAAAAAGGAATTAATTTATTCAATTTATTTATGTAAAATGAATTAACATGATAAATATATTTTAATAGGTTTACGTAAGTTACATAAAAACATGTTGACTGCTGAGTGCATGTTAACATAATTAATGTTCTCCCTGTGTGGGTTTCCTTCAGGTGCTCCGGTTTCCCCCACAGTCCAAACATGCACTATAATGAACTGGATGAACTGGCCGTAATGTGTGAATGTGAGAATATATCTGTGTTTCCCAGTACTAGGTTGCAGCTGGTAGGACATCCACTACGTAAAACATATGCTGGATAAGTTCATTCTGCTGTGGCAACCCCTGAGGAATAAAAGGACTGAGCCAAAGGAAAATGAATGAATGGATATTGACAATGTTGCAATTTCTTTATGGAAAATTTGTCTCATTATATATAAGGAATTATGTC